GATGATTTTGTGAGAAAAATGAAAGAATGAGGGGGTATTTATAGTTGAAAATAGGGAAAACGTATAATTATAAAAAGTTTGGAGGATTAAATGGCTATTTTATAAATAGCCAACGGCTAGAAACAACTATTTTTAAATGCACTAACGGCTAAAAACGGCCATTTTGGCAGATTTTTTTTTTTTTTAAATAGTCGTTGGGCCCGTTTAGGCCCACTTAGAATCGTTTAGGATCGGTTGAACCGACCCACTTATCAGCCGGTCCCCATCCCAAACGGTCCCGGTCTCGCGGGCCTATGTAAAGAGACCGGCCCACCTGGAAGCCCACCCCCACCCGGTCCCGATCCTAAACGGTTAGGCCCGTTTAGGTCCACTACCCATTTGGGCTCGCGGTCCTCAGTCGGTCCCGGGCCTAATCAGCCCACATGCCACCCTTATCTGTAGTGGATGGACTTCAGCTAGAAGTATAGTCTAATTTGTATAAAGAGAATCAAGAAGAGTGTCAGCGGGAAAAGGAGGAGTGGTGGATTACATTATCATCTCAAAAGATTATCTTAAGTACCTTCCCAAAAAAAAGGACAATAAAAATCAAATTGGAAGTAACAGTTTAGGACACGTTGTGTTAGAGCAAAGTAATTAAAAGATAAGTAACTTGCTTTACATAATACTGTATCCCGTCTTTCAAGCTTAGTGCTTGGATTAGTCCCTTTCTAGTAGGTTTGGTTTCTCATTTGTTACAACAAGCATTTACATTGCTCTTTTTTATTTTTTAATTGAAAAACATTCTGCATCTTGACACAACTGAGAAGAATTCTGGGGTCCAGAGCTTTTATTATTATTTTCACTCGAGACCTCCATCTTTCCACAAAGTCAAGACACTCGACTATCTGAATTTCTTCTAGCTAGCAGGGTAATTAATTTCTGGTGAAGCAAAATCATCAAGAAAATGCTTTAATTGTTCCTACTGATGGAATTGGCCTTCCTAAGTAGACGTATCATATGTAACTGATAAATCCACAAGTGATTGTCAGCATGTTGAGGTCTCACTCTCACAGGCCACGGTTCAATCAATAGCCAAACAAAGCATTGGATCTTTGTCACCTAAGAAGAAACAACAAAAGAAAGCATAAAACAAAGGAAACAAAAAATTTTAAATTAGATGTCTGAGAAAACAATGAGATACAGTGAGCTCAATAACTATCCAACATCACTTCATACATGTAGCATTGTGCCTTTCAGATATAGAGATAGAGCACATCAACCATGTAACAATGTATCTCGCGAGCAAATCGTGTACTCTTGTTTAAGACTTGAAGCTCCATTGATAATACATCATGCTATGTGTCCTTTGCATGTTCTGTGGTCAGTGCCATCATACTGGAATCACCATTAACGAATGAGAGGTGCAGAATTCACGCGCTATGTCCACCTTTCCACCCAAAAAGCCTTTATCCCACCTTGGAAGCTGTTCCAGATTAAGAAAAAATTTCCTGGCTGCCTACTTAAAACGGTTCTTCTTTAGATCCAAGACCTTAAAAAAGAAGAAGTTGTTTTAGCTGCAAACCTCAAAGAGCAGAGCTACTCTGTTGCAGTTTCACTTCTTCATCATCTGTATAATCCAAATCCTTAATATTCATGTTACCCTGATCATGTGGTCTATTGTTTAACCTTTTACGTTTCAGTATACCCTCTGACTCCTTCATCAAACTGATGTATTTTTTCCTCACTTTTGCTAAAGGATGTTGCTCTATAGCCCCTCTATCACAGTAAGCTTCTTTTAGTATTGCAGTGCAAGTCTTATTATTCAATGACAAATAGAAGATATAAGGATGCCTCTCAAACGCCTTGTGAACTTTTTGTGGCAACCCTAAGTGTTTTCTAAGACACAAAAGCTTCTTCCTTTCTGCAGCATGCTCAACAAACAAACTAAGCAACTCGTGAAGCACACCCACCACTCGTTTTTCCGCTATATCGCTATTTGGATCCAAACCAGAATAATTCTCATAGGGTGAAACATATGGAAGCCTCTGAAACTCATCAAACCAGTCTGCAATCTTCCTTTTAAGTCTCAATCCCTTTGACGGAAATAATGGAAATTCTAGCACCTCACCCTTCACACCACTATACACTCCTCTCCTCATTGCATTCCTCTGCATCATCGATAAAAATCTCTCACTTCCATCGACATTAACAGCTAGCCCTTTCAATCCATCTTCCATTTCCACAAGTCTGAAACACTTATCAAGGTTGTCTTCTGGGTTCCTTAAGAATTCATCGGGTAAACCCAAATACCATTGCAGACCCTGAATTACCTTTAAAGGAAGCATCTTTTCCCTG